TTAATCAAAGCAAATAATTTTGATAGAAACAAAGGCGATGCTCCCTCTAATAATGACTGCAAATACAATAGCAGTAACGGGCGAATACAGGGAGGCCAGGCAGAGTTTCCCTAGATATTCTGAACGGGACAGATCTCGGTACGATAGTCGTACTTGGACGAATCGCAATCGATATGATAGACCGTATCGAGACCAGGAACAACCTTGGCGACACGAACGTTATAATGATAGCCAAGAACAGGATCGTGAACGATAGACGTTCCAGTAACTTTGACAGGGACTATAGAGTAAGACGCAGTGACAGAACAGAGTCGGATACTGAACATTCTCAGTCTGACTCCGGGCGATCTCGAAGGGGAAAGAGAAATAATAACGCTTCTCTAATTCGTGGTACGAGATCCAGTTCGAAACATACAAGTAGTTCCAGGTCTAATGAGACTTTACCAGATGCTAGGATACGATTGTCGAAACAATTAAATTTAATTTTGCCTGTGGTCGTAAATCAAACCAAAATTAACGCAGTTGTCGACACAGTTGTTACGCTTACATTGGCTAACAAAAATATATGTAAAACGTATAATGGACGATTAATTTTTAAAGAAATTATTAAACTTTCAGGATTAGGAGACCAACCTGTTTATGCACAACGCGTTTCAGGTATGTCAATCAAAATAGGTAACAAATATTTTGACTGGGATGTGTATATGATCGCTATGGACGATGACATAATTTTAGGCTTAGACTTTTTGGCGCATCATAAATGTGTAATAAATATAGAGCGCCCTTCAGTTCAAATCGGCAACGACACAATCAACGCTGACTTACGATCATACTCTAGTAAAGGCGATTTATCTGAAGTATAAGTCAGTAAACGGGTAACAATACCTCCAAATTCAGTAGGTTTATGTCGAGCAGAACTTACGAGACAAATCGAAGGAGGTTTGTTGGTTTCCTCAACACTAAGGAAGTCCAGATATACCATTTTTCGGGTAATAAATGACTCTGATTCATTCAAGACATTAAAAAAGGACATCATATAGGAAATGCTGAGAGGATAATCGGAAAAACTATACCAGAATCCAATTCTAATTCATTTTCGTCAACTTCTAGTTTTCGAAGTGACATAAGTAGATTGGAAACGATCTCGAAATGCCCCAGCTTTTCTAATAATGCTATTGACGTGGATACCACATCAATGACTGATCCAGCTTACCTAAAGGACTGTTTCATAAATCTGGTGATAATTTAGCAATGACTAAAAAGACTAAGTTAGCAGAATTATTAACAAAGTACCAGGACACTTTCGCTCAACATGATTTAGACTTGGGACGATTTTCTGAGGATAACTCATACAATTGAAACCGGAAGCAACCCTCCTATTAAACAGAAAATGCGCAAAACACCTGTTCACTTCCAAGATCAGGAATACGAACATCTGCAAAAATTACTCAAGGGAGGCATTATGTAGTCAGAAAGAAAGACGGTTCATTACGATAGTGCATCGATTTTAGAGCCTTGAATAATATAACGGTTAAATTTCTGGGAAGGGAGGGTTTGATTCTCCCAAATGTACAGGCCTAGGATGGAGTAGACACTTTATTTAGAAATTAGGATTAAGGGTCTTGATATTGGGTTTTCTTGTGTTCTTATTCTGATCTGAAATTAGAAAAAATAACTCGCCCGATGGGCGAGAAGTATCGTATCTGTTGTGTACTGATTGTTTTTAGTTTACTATGAACAATATTATCATTTAAGTTCTTATTTTTTGAATATGCAACTATCATTTTCTGATTATAGACATGGGGGAATTTCTCTTGAAGGCTCTTATAGTGGGCATAAACTATCTTCCTTGCTCGATTGCTGGATGTATTGAACGGGACAACAAAGGGTGCTATGCCTACATTATGATGAATATTTAGTCCTATAGGTCTTGCTGTATTCAATGTCTCAATCCAATGGGCTTCCCTAGATTGACAGAATTTGGTAGTTTCATCTTCGGGCAAGTCAATTTCTATACGCTCAATTGGGATTAGGGTGAGATCGTCTATTGAATGGTCGTCGAGATTGAAATGATTAGAAACAGGCTTATCTTTCTTTAATTTGATGTCTGACCTATGAGCATTAAAAAGGGTTCGTAAATTATTCTTAGTTTCTCCTACATATTGTTTGGGGCATTTCTTGCATGAAATTAAATAATAATATTACATTTGAATGTTCACATGTTAGATGTTCCTGGATCGGGTACCTTTTATTCGTAGAGTTGCTTTCAAAATGAAGGGACATGTTTTGCATCTACTGGGCAAACATGGAGCACTTTTTAAACCTGGAGGTACTTCGGCATAAAGGCTGTTTTTAGCCTTTACGTTTAGAGTACCCACGCTCTTTCAGTTTTGAGAAAACAATCGTACAGGCTTGGTTGAAATCAGAAGATCTTGTACAAATTCGATGAAATCGTAAAACTTGTGACTTAATTATACCAGAAAAGGTATGTTTTGGGTGAAAGGAGTTCTTGTGCAAGAGTTGATGAGTATCAGTTTCTTTGAAATACACTTTAATATCCAGTTTATTTGTTTCTGCTATGGAATCTCCCTTAAAGACTGTGGTATCGAGAAAGTCTATGCTTTTGTCACTCAAATTTGCGGTTAGTTTGATAGAAGGATGGTGGTTGTCATCCAAAAAAGCGCCCGTAAAAAAGTGGGTCAAATGGACAGAGGGGCAACACCTCACGTTCCCACTCTGCCATGAAAAGGTTTGCGTACGAAGGGGCGAATCGTTTGCCCATTGCTGTCCCTGAAGTTTGTAAATATGTTTTACCATTAAATGTGAAATCGTTTCGACTAAGACAAATCTTTAAAAGCTGTAGAATTGCATCGCCGGGTCTGTTTGGATCTGGGTTTCTATTAGAAGCTTTACGAACTGCCGTTAAACCAGTAGTGTTATCGATATTGGTATACATAGAAGAAACGTCGATAGAAATTAAAATAGCATTAAAGGGAACTCGAAGATTTTTTATTTTATTGACAAAATCGGTTGTGTCTTTAAGTTAGGCGCGATGTTGACATGCTAGAGGTAGTAAGAAATGATCAATGTATTTTGACACTGCATATGACTCACTACTACAGTCAGATATTTGGGGATTTTATTCGAGATAAGCCACTCCTTGGTTGGATTCTGGTTTGGTTTCGTTGATCCATGAGCCATGTCCGATTGAGGGATCTAATATTCGCGTCGACAGCTGATGTTTTCAGTGCTGGGCGGATAAAACTACCAAACTCAGAGACTTTGCGTTTGAAGGTAAACGCTGGTTGGCCTTGCTGTTGAAGAGTAAGAATTGCCAAATGATGGAGGCACTGCAAAACTTGAAAGAACACCTTCACAAAGGGTTCTTCCTCCTTACGAGTGGGGACTGGTTGGCGTCGGTGGGCTGGTCGGTGGTTACCTCTGGATTGGTAGGCTGTGTTGTAGGTAGGTCGGCAATGGGGTGGGATATAGCTGTATGGGTTGGTTGGTAGTCGGCGATTGGTAGGTGGTAGAGGTCGATGGAAGACAGGGCCGTTGTAGAGTACGTGATGTTGGTTTGGTTGACGATTAGTGCTTTTTTGTCTGGCTTCTTGTCAGTGGTTGTTGTAGTTGGGGAGTATTATGAAAATAACTTGAGGGGAAACTGTATTATGCTAGCGTGAAAAGGAAAGCTAACAATGCTGTGAAAAATTATAACAAATAAACAAACACGAACCGGTTTTCGAAGTATTATCCTTTTTTAAGTGTCGAGGAATGGTTATCCAAATTAAAATTGCTTTGCAAAGTATGCCAATTCTTTTTATAGCCTTATGTCTTTTGACAGGAAGGCTTGCAAATGTGTGTTATTGGTGTCTTTCTATAGAATTACTCGGCATCTCTATGTTCTCTTCACGGCATCAACTAGTAAATCTCGATAAAGCCAAGACACCACCTGAAATTAGCAAAATACAATAAGATTAATTACCGAAAGGAAGATTATATAATATGTATCTTCATATTTAAACTCTTCCATACTGTAAGTTGGTAATCTTTCGTGAAACTTTTGGATTTTTCGACCCGGTTTCCCCCTGTCAGTGATGCAGGTAAGAGGGCCGACTTGTAAAAAGCATCTAGTCGTTCGGATTAGACAATAACCGACGCCCTGTGTTCCACAGACTGCACGTTAAAGATCCCCTGACAGGTGGAAATCGAAAAAAGGCTTGCTTTTGCCACTGTCCTGGCAAAATTCCCCTCAAAGCACCCTGCATTCATTAGCCCAAATAATGCAGAACAGTAGGGCATAAAATTCCATAATTTCATTTACTTCATAATTAAAGATCAAACAAAAGTTGCTGTATGAGAAATTAAACACATATAACATAACCAAATGTATATATACATTCCCTTTAAGAAAAAATTCACAATGTACTATTGAAAGTCACCGAACCTTACGCACTGACCAAGAATTTAGCTCACAGTCCGTTGTCTATCAGGTTTAGGTAAAATAGAGGCTCAGTGACTGGACGCGTTAATAGCTCGAGTATACTTTCTGGTTGTTCAATCGGGTTTCACCATGTCATTGTTGTACGTTGGAAGGCTCCGTGTGCTACGGCTTTTGCAGTTTGAAATCAAAAAAAGATCAGGCTTATGCCGCTGATCTGGCAGGAAGTCACTGATTGCAAACTTTATGGCATTGTCCGTCTTTATTAGCCCAATCTGGTTCAGAATAGTAAAACGTAAACAACATTCTTATTATTTCAGAGAAAATCATACAAAATAAATTTAGTTTTATGAGGAATTTGAGGCGAAATTTTTTTCATTGCACACTGCATGACATTGCCTTCCTCATTGGCATAAACACTGGTAAACAGGTGCAGAGAAGTAGAACGTTTTATTTCATTTCGGTTCACTTCACTTTCTCAACAACCGACCATTTCACGGCCTCGAGATAGCGTCCTTATATATACTCGGCCACAATAATAATATAGCCTACTTGTTTACCGTGTTCAAAGCAGACGTAGTTGTCAATCGAGAATATACTATAATATTCTAGAAGTGAGTAAAAAGCCAATAGAGAGATCTTCGAATTCGTCTACTCAGCTATAAGTTGTCACTGAAGACGTTGTCATTGATATTACAACAACCATGGAAGGGAAAACCTCAACCGTTTTATTGGCTGTGGATAACAGTTCTAATGCCGAATACTGTATGAATTTCTACTTACAACGTTTACACAAACAAGGTAACAAATTGGTGATTTTGCACGTTCCTGAATATTGGGGTGATATGGCCAGAATGATGAGCCCAGCTAGACTGACGGAGGTTTACAACGAATCTCAGAAACGGGCGAAAGTAATTGGCGAAAAATTTCACACCATAGCTGCCAAAAACAGTGTTAGTGATATCGAATTTGTGACAAAGGATGGAAATGACCCATGGCATGTTATTGTCGATGTTGCAAAAGATAAAAAAGTTGATTTCATAGTTATGGGTTCCCGAGGAATGGGTAAGCTAAGAAGAACCCTAGTAGGCTCAGTAAGTGATGGAGTTGTACATCATTCTCATGTTCCGGTTATGGTGGTACGAGAATAGGATCAATAATAGAATCTAGATATTTATAGCAATTAACACCTTTAATACTGAGTGAGTGACATTAATAAATTTAGTTAATTCTGTTAATCAACGGTTTGGAAATGCTGACAATCCTATCAAAAGAATTCAAGAATTGGAAATGCTGACTAGTTTATTCAAGGGCTTTAAATCAATGGAAATACTGACAAATCTATTCAAGGATTATAACGATTTGGAAATGCTGGCGATTTCAGATATTATAATGGGAATGCTGACTCGATTATTCAAGGAATACAACGTTTTGAACATTTTATTGCATTCAACGATTGTTACGTTTTGGAAAGGCTGACAATCCCATAAATTTAGTTTTGAATCTTTTTGAAATGCTGACTAGTCCATGCAATGAATGTTGCGTTTGGAAATGCTGGCTAGTCGTTCAAGGTGTTTAGTTATACTTGGAAATGCCGACAAGCACCATCAAAAGAATCAAATATTTTGTCCGTGTAATTACATATTTTCTATGAGCGATCTACTGCATTTATATTGGAAGGTTACTGGGAACTAGTTTAAATTTAACATTTTCATCTGTATTTGAAACATTATGGTTAAATGTTTGGTTTTAATATGTTTATTTCATATTTTAAAGTTATAATTAGCACAGATTATACAAAACACAATACTGCACCTTTCTGCACTAACGTTTATATAGGACAAATTATTTCGATAAATGTGATATCAACACAATGGTTGTTATTGGTTCTCCCTGAAAGAAAAATATCTTACTTTAAAGGGATATTGATGTTAAATATTTGCTTCTCGATTAATCACATAATGTTATTTTACGCTGTCTATATCATTTTTTAGAATGAAAATCTGTCGTCTGGTTCGTCTCTAATTTAGGAAATCGGAAAATTCAGGTCGTTTTTACCAACCGGTACCCATTGTGATAACGTCTGGGATCAGCAACGTATTACTGCAATTCCAGCTCTATCCAACTTTTTCACTATAGACATTCACTTTAAATGTTATGTTAATGTTATGTTTATTTGACATTCGATAGGGATAAGCCTAATCTTTTTACTGTTTATTCAAAACTATCTTATTTTCTATGTTAAATGATGTTTGTTATGTAAATAAAGATCATATTTTAGTGTTTGCTGTGTATTTCATCTCTCTCATATCCTTAAAGCCTATATTAGGCTATATCTAACCCTGTGTAAATGAATATGTTGTATAGCTAAACTCAGCCAAGGTCATCCATCGCATATCTTATCAGTTTAGCACAACAGGGATGACTAAGTCCTCACAATGTCGAGCTATGAACATCGTCTTATACCTTGACAAAACAACCCTGTGTAAATGAATATAAATGAATATAAATATGTTGTATAGCTAAACTCAGCCAAGGTCATCCATCGCATATCTTATCAGTTTAGCACAACAGGGATGAATAAGTCCTCACAGTGTCGAGCTATGAACATCGTCTTACACCTTGACAAAACAACCCATCCTGCTTCACGGATATAGTCATTTAATTGGATTGTTCATTACCAAATTCAAACAAAATATTATTACAATTGGCATATTGTTTTCAGACTTTCTGACGAGGGCTTCGATTGGTAGCGTACAAGCCAATCAAATCGCTCCATTCGAAGTTGGGTGTCTATTCCAGTTAAGGTATAAAACGAAGTTACTTCCTTCTCCAATATCTGATTAAAATGTAAATCTGTATATTTCTTTCGTCTGACTTTCTGGGTCGTATAATATTCAACCAATCAAATGCTCTGTTCAATAAAATATTCGATTGGTTAGACAAATTTGAATTAACATGGTTCTAAATAACAAATTTGTAAGATCAAGAGTAGTAACATCCGTATTTCAATTAGAATGATCAAAAAGTTCCAGTTTGATTTAGTGATGGTAAAAATCCCACTGTGATAAGGCGATCGATATTGATGGACCAAGTAACTCGTATGAGACAGGAAATCTCAATTTATCAAAACGACTATTTCATAGGAGAAGGATTGCACATACACTAATAATATTTATGACTTACGTGTATGTTCATACTTACCAGATAACATAAATATTGGATATGTGGAGGCGTCATTGATATCTAAGTGTGCACGTTACAGTGAAACACGTTAGAAATATGTTTAGTTTCATCCTTGAAAGGGACGATATTGGTTATAGTAGTGATTTTTAAAAGAAAATAGGATTTTACGTTTGTTAAAAGGAAATACATTATATGTATATTAAGCGCTTTTCGAACAAAATATATTTAAATTCATATCCTTTTCATGCATGACTGAAAACATATCACTAATATGAATAACAGCCCTTAATATAAACCGGTTTGAGCAGTTACTGTATTTCCATCTTTTTATCAAAATAATTTTGGGTGACCCTCCAATCGAGGATAAAAACGAAAACCAAAACAAATTTACTCGACTGTGACAGATAGATAGTGATTGTAAAAATAAACCAAAGGGCATGCAGTATTAACGTGTTTTGACTGTTTTGGACACCGAAACTTGATGATGACTACATCCAGATGGATGATTTGCCTACTTTAAAGGTCTGCCCATTATAAGTCTTATAAATGCATAGGCCTACTAAGGTCAACGTGGAATCGTCTTGTCACGGTTTGAATTCTACTTTACTAACCCCATGTACAGTTATCGCTATTGTTGCATAGTAGCTCTATTTTGCTCTTTGTAAGGTCTGGTAAGCTTTTAACACTAGCCACAATTCCGGGGAAAATGTATGTAAAAAACTCTATGTACAATTTGGTATGTAACTATAGCTCCACGTGCAGTGTGGTATGTTACTAACCTCATGTTTGGCATGAATTTTACTCGTACAGTGGAGTTAGTAAAATGTACAGAAACTGCATGTACAGTTTGGTATAGAACTAGCTCATGTAAATTTAATATGTAACTTGCTACGTATATGGGTATGAGACTGGCCACATGAAGATAGGTAACTAGCCCAGTGTACAGTTGGTTTGTAACTAGACATATGAAGAATTTGGGTTTGTAGCTAGACATATGAACAGTTTATTGTGTAACTAACCCAGTGTACGGTTTGATATGCTTTATCAATATGTTTATCTGTAAACATAAGGTGAGTCATTCACATTCTGACCTACTATCAGTTGAAGTAAGATTGGTGAATAAGCCTAGTTTTAAGGTATGCAATATTGTTAGCATTATTATATAGCTTTTTAACGTTGAATTAGCATTATAATGACAAAATAAGTATCATGCATACAGAATGACGTGAACGCTGCAATATCCTGTCTATAAGAATCTGTGATAGAAAATCGTGCAGAGTAAATCAACTTCCAAACTGGAGGAAAATTAAAAATTTAGTGTGAAGAAACAGTGAGAAAGAAGGATATGTTTTGAATAGTATTTCATGAAATCGTGTCACTATCCCAGTGAACCGCAACAAACAAACAATAATTATGTTAAAGGTTGTGAACTTTTAGTCGTGGTAAATATGTTTGTAAGCCACAACTGAATACATATCACATTGATAATAGATAATACACGACAGCCTTTATTCATAAGGGGCCAATTTTATATAAGAAAACATTAAGTTAGGTTAGGTTAGGTTAGGTTAGGTTAGGGAGGTTTTCCATCAAAACGCATCATCAGCCTAGACATTTTATCGTAAAACATGTAATTTATCAGTACAAGTCTGGGGCATCAAACCTTGATTGAAAACATTAACTGTATCTTTGATCGAAAACATTAACTGTATATCTTCATGCAGGGTGCAATGAGGGAAATTTTGCCAGGACAGCGACATTAGCCTGCTCTTTTTCGAATTTCATCTGTAACTCTGGATCTTTAACGTGCACGTGTCTGTAGCACTTTGGGCCTCGATTTATTTTCCCATTGCAGACTCTCTTACCTGCTGACAGGGGGAAACCGGGTTAAAAAGTCCGAAGGTATTATCTCGACCTATGTCGGATTTGAACCCAGGACCTTCAGTATAGCGAGCAAGCGACAGAAGGTGCGAATAGACGAGGTAAAGTGTACGGTACGATCGATACAGTAGAAAATAGAACAAGAGAACACGCGAGGTATGGGTCCGGACACGGTGCGGACGCGATTCACTTATATTATTTTTACTGTAACGATAATCCCGCATCGCACATAGCATTGGATATCGTACCTCGTCTATTCCCACTTTAACTCGGTTAAGATGAAAGTGCACTGTTATTACAGTGAAATTGCAAGTGTACTATTAATTTATGCACACTAAATGATGAACATAAGTACAAGATACCAATCTGAGATCATCTCACGTCAAGCTATTACGAACTGTGTCTTATACCTTGACTGCAATATTCAGATTTCTTGCATCACGTAATGCAACTAGCAACGCTAGCTTAAGGTGTATGGAAAGTCAATTATGGGCCACTTGACAAATACCGTGAATGTTTCTATATATTATATCCTATTGTATCCGATTCCAATCTTATAATCGATAATAAAGATACATGTATAAGTAAAACAAAGACGCTTTGTGTTTAATTCCCATTTGTTTACAAAGACAGTCCACCATTACGTCGAATTGATCACATGACCCCATGACGTCATTGTTGGAACCTTCGTTAACCTAATAATCTTGATAGGCTACGTCAATATTTACATCAAAATGCCGAAGCGCTATGTCGCGCAATTTTGCAGCAATACCTGTAAAGAAAACAGTTTACACGGCTTTCCAAATGGTGCTGGTCTCAGACGACAATGGGTCAAATTCGTTCAATTGAAAAGGGCTGACTTCCAGGCGCCGACTGAAAACTCTCAGTCTGTTATTTGTGGGGCCCATTTCAAACCAGAATGTTTCTCTGGAAGCCTGATGGTACAAATGGGATTCAAAAACAAAAGGGACTGGATACTTGATAACAGGCTCCGTCCCTACAATCCACATGGTGCCAATTGTAGAATCAGCCTCGATACAGGGACAAACAGTGAAACGGCCATGTGAAGCCAGTTCGACGGTAACAACAGCAGTAGGCCTAGCACATCAAGCCCCACCCCCACCCCTAAAGATACAAAGAAAAAGCAAAGCAATGCACAAAATACAAGTAGCCGAGGTATATTTCATGAATTTAATCTGGCTTTTCTGGTGAAAATAACGCATAAAAAGGCACATAATATAAAAAATATAATAAAAGACCCAGTAGGCCTAGGCCTAGGCTTACACCTACAAACGAGTAGGGTATACGATCTGAACTGCTAAACAAAAATCAAAATCCATATAAAAGCATTTTGTCAATAGGCATAGGCCTACATGTTCTGAAATTGATACGGAAGAGCAATGCAGTGATGATATAATTGAAATTAGTCGTCAGAATCAATGTTTCATCCTTCTCCTCCCTGGTTTCGTCCTCAGCTTCCTTGATCGAGATGCCCGTAGGACCTGTTATAAGTGTCCATTGATTAAAATGTGTGGCTGTCACACTCAGGTGAATTATGCTGCCATTTTCTTTCAGATCCTTCAAGAAGCGGATGCCCGAGCCCGAGCCGAATTGGAAGCAGCTAATAATGTCCAAGCACACATTGAAGCCCGAGCAGTTGAGGAAGTTGCTGCATCTGCCGCACAGACAAACACTTGTGTTTCATGCCAAACAAATCCTGTGCCAGTCATCGACCAAGGCACACAGGTGTCTGCACTTAAGCCCCACGTCCGCTCAAAGGGTGTGAACACGACGATCAAGATCATGATTGATACGGGGATGTAAACCGAACCGGTCTTTTTTACTTCTGTGTCATTTAGCAGCACCCCCAAGAAATGCCGCCAGATACCTCACGATACTGCATGTTTGGTGAGCCCCATCAAGCCAGAATCACCAAAGGCAAAAGACTGCGACCCGGACTAACATCCTATTAAAACCAAGGAGGAGAAGGATGAAACACCACCCATTACACCTGCAGACCATATTGCGGAGAAAAAAAATAGTATTCGAGTCTAATCTACTCCAGCTGTTCGATACTTGCCCACATTGTGCCCACCCGAGTCAGAGCCATATTGTTGATAAACCAAACAGTGGCTTTGGGACAATGGTCCGTGTAGAACAGCGATGCATGGATTGCGAGTTTACTCGTAAATTGGACAGCCAGCCAATGTTGAAGCAAATGCCCCTTGGTAACCTGATGTTATCTGCTTCAATCCTTTTCTCTGGCAGTCAGATCAGTCAAGTGCTGCGCATGTTACATATTTTCAATGTAGCTACGTACAGTCGACAGACTTTTCAGCGCCACCAAAATGATTATGTCATACCGACAATCATCAATGGGTGGAAAGAAAAGCAGGCAGACCTGATCGCAGAACTTAAAGAAAACCAAATCCATCTTGCAGGTGACCGCAGAAATAACAGCCCATGTCATTCTGCCAAATATGGTACGTACACCTTTATAGAACAAACATCAAAGAAGGTGGTAGATCTGCAACAAGTACAAAGCAGTGAAGCTTGTAGCAGTAACGCCTGTGAATTATTTGGTTTTAAAAGGGGGGTGTCTTTCCTAACAGAACAACTAACTTGCCGCGGTCTAGTTACAGATCGGCACAGATCTATAGCTGCCTTTATTCGGGACGATCTTAAAGTCAACAACCCCATGTGTGCGGAGATGGATCATTTCAATGATGTTTGGCACACTGCTAAGGGCCTTGGTAAGAAAACAATCAAGATCGGAACCAAGCAGCCAGAAGTCAACCTATGGAAAAAATCCATTGTTAACCACATGTACTTTGTTGCAGCAACAGCCCCCAAAGAAAATAGAAGGGATCATCTCAAAGACAGGTGGCTTTCTCTGGACAATCACCTCCGTGATATTCATGAAAATGACCTTGACTTGAACCCCATGTGTGATCATGGGCACCTATTGTACGATAGAAACAAAGAGTGGTTTGTTCGTGGGACAGTGGGCAGTGCGATGCTGACAGACCTGCTGACATCAAATGCAGTGGTCAAGGATGTCCAAAATCTGACACCTCGATTCCAAACTTCCAGTCTTGAAGCATTCCATAGTCTTGGTGTTCGCTTTGCGCCCAAACATATCCACTTTGGTTGGCTCGGTCAATTGGCGAGGACTTACCTGGCGGCTATGCATCACAATGAAAACGCCAACAGGATGCAAGCTATAACAAGAAATGGACTGCCTCAATACCGTGTTAGTTTCCCCAAGTATAAATCTGGCCACCAAAACTGAGTCCACACATGACTATGCAAGGTGGTTGATGCACAAACTACTGAAGTCCTACAATGAAAGTCCCACAAGAAATTAGGGATGAGCAGCCAGCACACCTTGTAGCTGCCTTTGTTTGCAAGGGATGACCAATAAAAATAATAAACGTAACCTTGACGCCTTTAATGCCCCCTTCTCTAACCCCACTTACTTAAAACTAATTATATTTTACATCATTAAAATCAGAATTGATTAAACTATTTATTGATACTGTCTGATTTCAACGCAATGTCGGCCATTTAGAACCAGTGTAGCCTTCTTTATTTGGAAATGTTTCTCTGATTTTTCTAACACAGCAAGATGGCAGAGGTATCCGATGGTGGCGGCCAACAACTCCCCAGCACCACCTCACTAACTGTCTGTATGCAGTATGTCTGTACATTCTGTAATATGAAAGTAACAAAGCACATATATTTTTCTGTTGATGTTGATTTATGCAATTATTTCTGTAACATTTTAAAAGCATCATGAAACATAATAATTGATAAAGTATTATTTATTATACAGTACTCTTCTTTTGTTCAAAATACCGGTATCATGCAAAAGTAATGTTCTTTGAATATGAAATGAAGAAAGTATCTCAAATATGTACAGTCAAGTAACCTAATTTCGTGGTAACCTATTTTTCGTGCATTTCCGGAAATGATTAATAATTTACATGTGCGACCTCGCATGACCCCCGCATTTGCTTGTTTTAATAAACATGGGTTTTCTGTACAATATCAGCTAGTAGAATGAATCCAGTAGTTTCAAGCAAGGTAAAATGTATTAATGTATACTTTGACAAATACAAAATGGCGGATTTCAGTTATTACCAAACGTCACCATTTTTATCGGCCGAATTTCCTTATAATTCCAAGCGGTGATCGGAATTCCAAGTGTCGTCTGCTAGAATGTAGTCCAACGAATGAAGTCACGTGATCAACTAGCAGATTCCGTGTCAGCAGAAAATTTCTATGGAACACAAAGTGGAACATATTCTTATGTTGTTTCATTGACTTTTAGCAATAAATCACGCTACATATTTTATTTTGTTAGTCACTATTTTTTTAAAATCGTGGTTCTTTAAAGGAATTGTCACTAGTTATAATGAATTGATATTAAAGATAAATACTCAGAGATGTTAATTATACCAATGGGTATCCACAACGTGTTTTTCTCGACTACGAAAATAGGTGACGCATTCTGCCGCCGTTGCCGAGTTGGTAGCTCATGAAATATGGGTCAAAGTGAAGGATTCATAAAGAAAATCGAAACAAACCAATATTAATTATTTTGTAGAATATCTGAGGAAACATCTAAGACATTAACTTTGACGAAATTCGGTGTTGAATTCTTATATGCATGAAAATAGGTTACACCACTGTACTAGGAGGAAACACACTCATTCTGTTCAGAGACCATGCCCTCTCCTTGATATTGCTGCTTGTACTGTAGATATGCTACCTCCAGCACCTAGAAGTGCCTTGAAGCCCGGGTGCTTAGTAATGCACACCAGTTCATTTTCAGGAAACATATCTATGTTCTCCTCCACCTTCTTTACTATCTGAGGTCGTTCAAGGCAGCAGCAGCTTTCTGTCACTGTAGCCATGGGCAAACATCTTAAACATGTGCACCTGTAAAATAATAAGTCCAGTTTTAATTCTAAGTTGATTATATTTGTTGTATTTTTCTGGTCACATTTACTACTCAACTAGGGCCTACTGATCTTAATTTTAGATCTTAAACTGAGTAACACCGTCTCAAAGAATGGCTATGCACAATCTCCAAACGTGCAAAGTATTTATGCCATAACATGCCAGATCATTCGTCAAAATCATTTTGAAGCGTGCGATTTTTAATACAAAATGAACGCTATGAACCAGTCATTATTTCCCAATCGATTTCCATTTTCATGAATTTCGGCAGTGTCATCGTCCTGGTTTGTCCTTTCACTGTAATTCTCCCCTCCCGGGGACGCTTAACTGACTCGAACTGGTAGCCCACCACACCCCCAAACATTTCGTATTCATCTTCTTCCTCTTCGGACTGAGATAAACTGTGAGTGCTTAACGAATCGTTTTCATTATAATACATAACTCCCGCCATGTTTGTTAATCTGTCAGTTAAGCTTTCCCAGAAACCACCGCGTCCATAATTTACGTCACGCATACATTAGCGTACATTCGGATATTTCCGGAACGTGCTCGTGGTTTTCCGTACAAATCATCGATTTCCCATCAAAATATCACTTTTTCACCCCCACGAATTTTTTTTCCGCGAAAAGGATAATGGCATTCAATTCAATCATTAATTATTTATCAAATACAAAAGTAAACCATATTAAGACTTTCCATAATCTTTAATACCTTTTCCTTTTTCGGTAAGCACATACTTTGCAATTCTAATATGCAATACAATATACCCAATAGCCAAATTTCATGAGTTTTTTTGTATTAAGTAGTCAACTATTTCCGTTCAACCTAAATCTAGAATACTAATATTCAAAATTGACAAACTTTAATGGAAGTTGCTCGTTATTTTCTAGGTCGGTAAATATAAGTCAAATGACCATGATTAAGTCATATTTGCTCATTATTCCAGTAGACCTAGTTATAAATACTTACGGTACAGATAATTAATGGAAGAAATACTAATTTGTTTGGCTTTAGACCAGCTGATAGATGTAGTTTTTCAATTATCAAATATAATGAAGTGTTATTTAATTATCTACTATTAGTATTATTTTAAATATTAAATAAAGTAAAAAGCAAATGAAACGTCACTTCTGAAAGTACAGATAAAACATAACAGACACTGTGTAAACTTATTTAATGTTCTACTGCTTCTTTTTGCTGTCATAAAGTCCATTTAACACTGACTTTCTACCATGTCTTGTACATATTTAAGTATTTGAAAATGAAGATGTAAATAAGACACACATGTCTTTTGTCTATATTTCAGCTTGATGTATAGTCTATCAGTTTCCCATGGATTAGAAGATTCATGATGTTTGCAAGAAATTTTAAGAGAATTATTCCGCGGGTCGTAAATTTGAGTTGCGGATTGGAAAATGTTGTCAAGTATGGGCAGAAAAGTTTCACAAGAAATATAGCACCAGCGTCAATACGTGTGGTAAGATATTCACAACTCCGTGAGCTAGATGAGTTGAAACCAGTAAATATTGGTGTCATAGGATGTGGACGAATTGCTCAAGTCCATATCAAGAACTTATTTAATATTAGAGGAGTCAATCTACACTGGTTAGTGGACAATAAAACTGAGAATATAGAGCAGATACAGCGATATTTTTGTTTGCAACACGTCAATGGTTATAATGTTGATCGTCTGGACGGACTTCTAGATGATCCCAGGTACGTTACGTTTTGATGTAATTGACAAATGGTCATAGTGGCTACATCAGCTGGGTGTCGATTGCGTCACTAATCGCGAAGGGCCTTGTGTGATACAAGGATATTGCGATTAGTGACGTCATCAAACATTTATTTGATTGTGTAATTGCAGGAACAACAGACGTCTGACTGAAAATTTTAATTGTGCACATTGATGCTATCAGTGCCCATGCTACACATAAAACAAAAATTGAAAACCTCTTTACAATCCCTTTGACGAGTTCGCAGAGCTATTTAGCAAAAAAGCAACTGGTAACGTTTAGGAAAGTAAGGCTACCTTTCATTGCTGAAATCTAATTTGATTATATTCACACGACACACATAATTCTATTTATACAATGCCAATTTCTGTATTACAGTTTAGACGGTGTATTAGTTTTGAGTTCTACTTCTGTACATACTGAACAATGTTGTCAAGTTTTAAAGAAAGGTGAGCGAACTGTTGGATTGATAAACATCAATTATATAAATATCAATCTGAAAATATGTTCAACTACACAATGGTAAATTTCAATCAAGGATCGTCCTTAGAATTGTTAATGCCGTTGTCGTACTCTCAGAAATCGATTGAAAGTAATATAAGCTTACATTTATATATATATCGGATTGCTTTTAGCGGAATTGCAGGAACCACACAGACGTCTGATTGAAAATTGGAATGGTGCAAATTGATACTAACAGTGTCCCCTATACACAATTTAGAAAAACTATTTACAATCACGTTGCATTGGTCAAAATTTCAGGAAAAGCCGTATTCGTAGAAAAACCAGCAGGAGAAACTATACAAGATATTTCACATTGTTTTGAAACTGCAGAAAAACAAAAGCAGGTTTTAGTGACCGGGTATAACAGGTATGTTCAAACAGACTGGTATGGGCTGTTTTAGCTGATAGAGATCGATTTCAGTTATTCATATCAATTCTCACTTCCGGTGGTCTTACAATTCAATCAAAACCCACCCGAAAATTTTCAATTGTCGCTTTACTTAATAGAATTTACATTCTACATAGAATAAGTCTTGACTATATCGACATTTTTATTCTGAATTGATACTGAAAAAGAGAACTGGAATTCCTGTCGTTGGTGAATCAATCAATGATAATAAGACCATCAAAGGGGTTTTATTCAAAATTCAAAAAGATTAAAATAAAATACGTGTTTAAATGGAAAATATCTAGCACACCTTTTTGTCTGTCGTATTCACGTGACGTTTCAAAAAAAAAATTGCATTGCAATTTCACTAATGAATAGACTGAAATACTATGTCAAGGCTGAATGTGAAATTGTTATGTTGATCTAATCATGTTATAGAAATATTAAAACACAACCTGATAAATGTTAAATAGGCTGAAAATGATCAGTCGTGAGGAGATCACATAGCGCGAAACTCTTGAGTTCTTCAAGTTCTGTTCTAATATTTTTGTATTTCTATATATCTCTACAATTAATCTATTCTAATTTGTGTGTGGTACCCATCTTAACACCTATAAATACCATATTTCATTATGAAATACTTCCTCATTTATACATCATATACTTCGTCATATTAAAAGTTAATTTGCTGCTACTAATGTATTGTCAATATGTTGTTTTGGACTTTGGGTTTGTAATCAGTAATTAATTCATTTTCAATTACAGGCGTTTTGATGCATCATTTCAAGAATTATACAGCAGCTTCCATAATGGTTCCATCGGGAAACCAATCTTTATCAAGTTAACATCCCGAGACTGTCCCAGACCTTCCATTGAATTTCTAAAGAGCTGTGGTAGGTGTTTGCTGCGGCTATTGACATTAAACTTCCCTGAAAGGTGCTTACTTAATAGATTTCAATTCCAAGACCTTTTGACTAATGGACATGGACAAACGCATTGAAATATCTTTTTAAAGTCTTTTCCATTAATATTTTGTAGACCAAGAAGGGTGTAATCTTATATCAGATATGGCCATTCACGATATAGACACTTTAGTCTGGTTAACCAAAGCTGAACAACCAGAGAGTGTGTTTGTCCAGACACATATACACCATCCTGATATGGTGGCTGGGGGGTGGGAAGATGCTGTAATGATGATGTTGAAATATACAAGTGGTATTATAGCTTGTATTGATGTAGTTAGAGAATCTAAGTACGGTTACGACATTAGAGTTGAGGTAAACAAATCTCCCTGTTTGGCGACCGGCAATCAGTATTATCATTTATTACATTGGGTTGCTTCAAGAAAAACGTGTGACCAATCTTCATAGGTCACATTTAAAACAAAACTGACCTTTTATCATTTTATTCTTATAATAAATAATATAGTCTTAAAAAGAGAGGCGTGTTCATTAAGGTATTCCACTTATACAATAAAATGCATCGTTTATTGCAGGATAATACAGAATTTAATCAAGGAGTCATTCAACATATTCACAGCATGCGAAAGTCACCTTTCTTGTATCACAGAATGCAGCGATTTGATTGGATTGTATGTTAGCGAATAAAGCCAATCAGAGCCCTTGATAGACTGTAAAGAATACAATCAAATCGCTACATTTACAAACTTACGTGATGCAGTCTAGATATAAGACGAGGTTTGTAATAGCTCGATATTGTGAAGACGCTGTTTTTTGCAGATTGTTATTCCTAGATGTTAGGCCACTTGATCCAGACAAGAGAATATGTTTTTTTGTGTTAATAAATTTGTATTTAACTGAAGGTGTTTGGTGATCAAGGACAGCTAACGGTCGGGCCATGCAGAACAACATCTCTCAGAAGAGACAAAGCAAGCGGTTCCACAACCTCTAATCTACAGTACTCCTTTCTAGATCGTTTTGAGAAGGCGTATAAGAATGAATTGGAACATTTCATTCAATGCGTAAGAGGTATGATAACATTTTATATTACATGTAGCAGGGCCATAGACAATCTAATTAATATCAGATTAAAATCTCGTTTCTGTTCTTTTTCCCCTAATATTTTTCGACTTGTTTGTAGTTGTAGTTTGGAATTGTAGTTTTTCTACCACAGTCCCAAAAGACTTTAGTTCTAAATTAAAAGAGCGAGGTTTTTAACTAATTTTAAATAGTTGGTTTTATGGACTGCCTTAAATGGAATGGTTAGTTTCTAGAAAATGAAATACTTCGGAAAGACTTTATTGACTTGATTAGGTGGCATGGAGCTCTACGTTGACATTTGATGACATATATACAGATTGCCCAATTTTACAAAAATGAGTTGAAAAAAAACTTTTTGGCCAAATTCCGAACCTTAGATGCTAACTTTGTTCATACACAAAGTCCAGTATTGAATAGCGAATCCCATTTTCAATTGAGCTTTCCTGATTGATGTCCACGTGTGAATGCACTCTGAAAAAAAATTAGACCATCTTCAGGCTCTAGCTCTACAAGAATTTCATATTGTGAAGAATTGTTTTGGCGAAGCTGTAATATTACCTTAAAGGGCCAGATGCGCCATTTTCCTTGTTTTGACCAATCGTACCTTACTCTCTGAAACGGGTTTTTTTTTTAACTGAGCCAATCAGTAAGTTTGTGTCCAGAAAAAACAAACAAAATTTATTTTTACAGGAAAAGAAAAGTCGTCTGTTAAAAAGGATGAAAGTTTAATGACTTGGTTGATAATAGAAAAGGCTTTAGAATCTTGGAGAAATAAAAATGTGGTTTACTTCTGATGCCGCTCCGGCAACAATTACATCAGTTACATCTCATCAGTGGAGATCATTATTTGTGCAGTTTACTACTTATACCATTATGAATTAGAGAGGATTATAGGTTTTCTTTCTATGCGTATCAGGGACATCTATATGCTACCGGACGTCCGCCTGTACCTCCGTATTCAAGAAAACTGACCAGATAATGACATCACTATCGCAAATACCATTGTGTTTGGATTAAGATCGTGGTCAAAAGAAGCCAAAACTAGCTAGAAAGCACTTTAAACCCCTTCAATTGCTCGAATTGCATTCTGGATCAGCTGTACAATCAAAATCATCGTTACAGGCTTGTTTTAACCCCGGTGTAACTGGTTGTTTCATCTTGTCTTGTAATAAAATCTGGAGACAAATTTTAATGTTACGGTGTAACCAATAACGATGTGATTACAATTTGTTTGGATGTACCGTTATTAAAGGAGACATAATATAAAAAAAATGATCGATGCGCTCAAACTGAGTGTGTATTAAAAAGACTGTAATTTTTTCGCATTAATTAGATCATTTGATAATTGTTTCCCTTGTGATTGACCTTCTTTCTCTGTTCGAAATTTCGCTTACGTAATTCGGATTGCGTAATTATGTTATGAAGGTGAAATGAGCTACCAAACCATTAGGAATGAAAAATATCAATATGAGAGTGGAGACTTTTCATGATATAACAGCATGGTGTCAGAGTTTCAATTGGCAGTTAAAAAACGTAAACACAAACAAAAGCATTTCAACCTTTAAACGTGAAAATAGAAACAAGAAGAAAGAGATGTCGTAGGAAAATTGGGCTGCTTATGAGCAGAAACATTATGTTTCTTTGAACTCAATCAAAATACAAGTGTATCCTCTTGACAATGTCAAGCTATTACGAATAGATTTCTAAAACATAGACTCACTTGGCAATCACACAACCTTTTTGAATTTCAGTTATCTAAACGTCAAACACATAACATTCAATATTCAGAATTCTAACACCCAGTTAAAACTCACTATGTGCACAATATTTACAGATTTCTCCTTGGAGCTCATCCTGTATAGACGATTGTAGAATGTTTTTTAGTGCTTATATCTGCCACAATAACTGAGGTAATTTGAAGTCCATGGTTTTCGGGGGTCACTTGTACCTTGGTCTCAGAAATAGGATTTGTTCAGCTGAGCTAAGTAATAATAATCACAGCTTCACCTTCTTAGCAAAGTGTATCCATAATTCTTCGTATCTGAAAGTTAGATTGACTACTCTCTTTGTTTCAAGACTCTTCATTTACGATTAATTACACAGTAGTCTCAATCATTCAGACCCACTTCGTCTATGAACAGCTGCGACGAAAGATATCTGGGTGTCAGAGACTATATCAACAAGATGTACAACTTTCGGATATCCCAATTTTCAGATTGAAGACAAGCTTATTATACGATTTTCGTCCAGTTCTAGTATTTCTGAAGATTATTTACACATATTCAAGGCTCAAATCAACATTGGATGATCGTGTGAACCCCAGAAGGTAAATTCTATGAGTCTGATAACTACAGGACAGGTCCCACCATCCGAATGTTTCTTGCGGCATCAAACAGGTTTACCGTTTAGTAAAGATGAGCTTTGCTAAGACCCTGTTGTAAAACGATGGAGATGACGTCATCAAACAAGGTTCTAATATTAGAACTGTTTGTGGCTGTCGTAAAATGACTATAGAATTCACGACTATCAACATTTCTCTCGGTAAATAATAGTTGTATATATCTAGAAGATTCTTTGTAATCAAAATCTGTACCTAAAATTGAATAAAGAATGATGATAATAAGGTTGAAACTTTGGATATGAAAACATACGACAAATAAGATGGAACCTACCAATAAACTATAAAATGAATAAAGTAACATTGATACGCAATATTTTCTGGAAATCTGTAAAAATGTTTTCTTTAATGTATGATAAACATTAACGTGGTATTCGGATGATGTATAAAAGTATGATCCATAATATTAATATAACAATTTTCAAATAATCCGCTTGGAGCGATTAGCCACTTGCGATTGAGCGGATGGTGTTTTGGACCAAAGTCCATGATCATATAGAGTAAGAAGAAAAAACGCCAACTTACCGTTATATTCCGGGAATGTAGAATGAAGAGAAATGTGTCGTATTTTACTTCTAAATATATCTGTTTTATTTAGAAATAATATAATGGTGGTTATTTCAAAAATTTGGTGACTGATGACACTTCTAAATAACTGTAAGGACTGCATTAACCGATTCTAGAAAATAAAATTATTTATCATATTGCTGGATCGTTATATCGAAATAACAGTCGAATCTAAATTTTTGAACAGATGGAAATTATGACTGTGTTTCATGTTTTTTAGGGACTGAAGTATACAAGCTAGCTACGTCTTTTTCTAATTCTCCAAAGAGCATATTATTATTCTATTTGATTCCACGTAGGTATAGAACTAATAGCGGATTTCTTCTGTAGTGGGGGTCGTCGAGGATCTTATTTTATACATACATGTAGTCTCCATTTACACCCTTCCTGTTTGGAATACAACACCGGATATTACTATTTAGTCCAATAAAACGCAACCGGATATGAACTTTGTTTGATTCTAACGACCGTTTGGGCAGCTGTAAGTGTTCTCAATAAATCGCAAAACTAAATAAGTGCATCCTGAAGGCAACGCATTGCGTAAAAACATAGTGGACCTCTACGACCAAATACTGACATCGCTATGAAATAAGAGAATGAGAAAATGAAGAATTAGTGAAATAATAGTCCGAAACGTCTGCCTCTGTTTGAGCCTGTAATAGCTATTAGGAAAGCTGAGATTGAAATTTCGGAGGTTTTATACAAATTTGTTTACTTCGATTCGACCAAACCCCAAAGTATTCAGAAAGATGGGTATTTTGTGTAGTTTATTCATACACCATTATACCTCTAAAGCATTTATGTCACGTCTGTGGTTCCATCAAAGTCTTTTTAAACGAATCCAATATCTCACCGGTCATCAAAGTTCACGCGATACTAACAAAACGAAAGTAGTGGAGATGCCCCAGTATCAGAGTTTGGTGGATTTGAGGTAAATGCAATACATGTATGTCTCGCAGGTGCAGAAAATCTCCGTAAAAAAAATTCACACTCTTCAGAGGCCGATTTAGAGGAAGACGTTTCGGACTAATGAAATACCTGAGTGCCATGAACTGGATCTGCATCTCTATTATCATAACAACTAATATCTACTGTATAAATCATAGCTGAGACATTATCAAAATAATGAATCCATTTCCTCGGATCTGTCTTCTGACCACCGACATCAAATACACTGAAATAAGAACCACATGATTTACTTTAAAATCGTATAAATGACACTTCACCATACCAGCTCGCATAATATATTCGGTATAAAATAGATTTCGGTGAAGGGAGGGCTTAGGATGGAACAAATGCTTCTTTGAGAAATTGGAATAAACAATCTGGAACTGCTATGTATTTTAGTAGTATTATATTTGCTTTAACTTCTCGTGCATTGGGTGGGCATTTTAACCCATAACTTAATGGATTGTGATATAGATATGGATAAAGCCTTTTTGGTGTTGTTGCTTTTACCAAATACCACAGAAAATCCAATAAATAAAACATAGCTCCGACTTACGTGAACTCAAATCCCTTGAATTTGAATGAAGTTTCATGAAGTCCGTTGGTATTAACTCTTGCATGTAAAATATCCTGATTATTTGGAACATAAGAATAATCCAATATTCTATCAGCATTATCAGCAAAGCTGAAATAGAAATTGTGCCTTAAGCCAGTAATATGTTGTTCGGAACTTAAATACATATTTATTATCATCTGTACGTCCACACTGTCACATTAATCGAGCATAAAATGTATAATTTTCATTTGAAAATCTTAAAAAACTCTATCAATGACAGGATTAATCACTAAATTTTATGAATTAATTTAGCTGTTGGTGAAAGTATTTTAAAAATTACCAGTCCGTAACGCTCAGTTTCCGTAAAGCTAATTCCACTCATAGTGTACCATTTAGTGCGTGCCAGCAGGAACTGTAACTCAACCCTGTGTTCAATTATGCATGGGTTTTGTTAACGAAAGTTAATTTTCTATTTTCTATTATCAGTATGGGGAGTAATTCTTGTTTTGTGACAACCAGCCCGAGTTTGCAAAGTTGGTGCAGATTGACACTTTAATGAGTATTTTTACTCACTATTCTGTAGAGCTAGGTAAATCGAAATCCCATCTTCGAGTCATACACAGAGTGTAACATTCTGATGATAAAAACCGGGTGATGGAAGATGAGTAACGAGCTATCAAGTTATCAACATTAGCTTCTGTTATATTTGATAATTCAACAAACATGTCCTGTAAATAATATTTTAATACCATTATATTTCGGGGAAGGGAGGGTTTGATTCTCCCAAATGTACAGGCCTAGGGTGGAGCAGACACTTTATTTAGAAATTAGGATTAAGGGTCTTGATATTGGGTTTTCTTCTGTTCTTATTCTGATCTGAAATTAGAAAAAATAACGCGCCCGATGGGCGAGAAGTATAGTATCTGTTATGTACTGATTGTTTTTAGTTTACTATGAACAATATTATCATTTAAGTTCTTATTTTTTGAATATGCAACTATCATTTTCTGCTTATAGACATGGGGGAATTTCTCTTGAAGGCTCTTATAGTGGGCACGAACTATCTTGCTTGCTCGATTGCTGGTTGTATTAAACGGGACAACAAAGGGTGCTATGCCTACATTATGATGAATATTTAGTCCTATAGGTCTTGCTGTATTCAATGTCTCAATCCAATGGGCCTCCCTAGATTGACGGAATTTGGTAGTTTCATCTTCGGGCAAGTCAATTTCTATACGCTCAATTGGGATTAGGGTGAGATCGTCTATTGAATGGTCGTCGAGGTTGAAATGATTAGAAACAGGCTTGTCTTTCTTTAATTTGATGTCTGACCTATGAGCATTAAAGTGAGTTCGTAAATTATTCTTAGTTTCTCCTACATATTGTTTGGGGCATTTCTTGCATGAAATTAAATATATTACATTCGAATGTTCACATGTTCCTGGATCGGGTACCTTTTATTCGTAGAGTTGCTTACAAAATAATGAGTTTCTGATATAAAGGGACATGTTTTGCATCTACTGGACAAACATGGAGCACTTCTTAAACCTGGAGGTACTTCGGCATAAAGTCTGTTTTTAGCTGCTATCTGTGCTAAGGTGGCATTTTTTTTGTTTCGTAAAAATCGTTTAGAGTACCCACGCTCTTTCAGTTTTGAGAAAACAATCGTACAGGCTTGGTTGAAATCAGAAGATCTTGTACAAATTCGATGAAATCGTAAAACTTGTGACTTAATTATACCAGAAAAGGTATGTTTTGGGTGAAAGGAGCTCTTGTGCAAGAGTTGATGAGTATCAGTTTCTTTGAAATACACTTTAATATCCAGTTTATTTGTTTCTGCTATGGAATCTCCCTTAAAGACTGTGGTATCGAGACAGTCTATGCTTTTGTCACTCACGTTTGCGGTTAGTTTGATAGAAGGATGGTGGTTGTTGAGAATTTCAAAGAATTCCCAAAACTGTTCGATAGAATAAGTCCAAACCATAAAAATGTCATCCAAAAAGCGTCCGTAAAAAAGTGGGTCAAATGGACAGAGGGGCAACACCTCACGTTCCCACTCTGCCATGAAAAGGTTTGCGTACGAAGGGGCGAATCGTTTGCCCATTGCTGTCCCTGAAGTTTGTAAATATGTTTTACCATTAAATGTGAAATCGTTTCGACTAAGACAAATCTCTAAAAGCTGTAGAATTGCATCGTCGGGTCTGTATGGATCTGGGTTTCTATTAAAAGCTTTACGAACTGCCGTTAAACCAGTAGTGTTATCGATATTGGTATACATAGAAGAAACGTCGATAGAAATTAAAATGGCATTAGAGGGAACTCGAAGATTTTTTATTTTATTGACAAAATCGGTTGTGTCTTTAAGGTAGGCGCGATGTTGGCATGCTAGAGGTAGTAAGAAATGATCAATGTATTCTGACACTGCATATGACTCACTACCACAGTCAGATATAATCGGGCGGCCTTTAGGGATTTTATTCGAGATAAACCACTCCTTGGTTGGATTCTTATGGATTTTAGGCAAAGTGTACAAGTGTCTCTCGCGACAATCAGGTTTGGCAGACAGATAGTCATATTGTTTCTGTTTGAGATAACTAGTTTTGACTAAATCGGCAAGAATATTATTAATCATGTTAGCAGTTTCTTTGAAAATTGGTTTCGGTAAAATGGCATAATGTTTAGGATTATTCAGTTGATTCTCTGCTTCTGAAACGTAATCCTCCCTATTCAGAATGACACAACATGAACCTTTGTCACTCTTTTTAATAACAATGCTATCGTCTTTCTTAAGTAAGTTTAACGCTTAACGTTCCACTCGTGTGAGATTAGGCTTTTCGTGTGTTATGGAAAGGTTCACTGTTTGGCTATTCATTTGGTTAATCATTGGGAGTTGCGATCTATTTCACCCTAAATTCCTTACAACTGGTTATCAGCCTGGTTCTACCAGTGATGCAGCTCATAGGAACTGACATGAAAAAAACGTCTAGTTATTCGGATCGGGCAATAAACCGAAGCCCTGTGTACTACATTTTGTGTACGTTAAAAATCCGTCGAAAGTAGGGAATTGAAATAGAGTAGGCTATGCCACTGTTCTGGAAGTTCCAGAATTGCACACTGCAAAGCGTTTCCCGTCGCCATTAGCTCATACAGAAAAGTAGGACAGAAACTTCTGTCATTTCATTTTCTCCTTGTGATGACTACAGAAAACATATAAATATTATAATAGATAATTTTACAAGCCGAATAATAAAGTTTTAGGGATGATGATAATGGTATTTTAAGGGAGTGGGTAGCGTGTGGGAGCGAGGGATGTAAGTGTTAAGTACCAAGATTAATTCTTGTGTGTGATTTAATTGAGAAAGTAAGCATATTCAAAAAGGTTAGGGTGACTTTCAATTATAGCTATAATGAATATTTGTATTTTTCATTTCAAAGGTTTTTTAGATTGCATTACAATTGAGAGTTTGAGAGGATCTATTCAGGCTGATTTGTTAAAACTTACAGTGAATTGTCTGGGGACACCAATCTGCATCTCATCAATACAAGCCTTTAATCTCAATAGAATATCTAGTATATTCTTTCTAACAATACTTCTATATAAATAACGTTCAGTTTCCAGAAAATCATGGTCATACAGGATCCTGTTGAAAATAAAATACAAAGTTTACAAACATATACACCGAAACAGCATGAAGCAACAAAAACAAAGTACTAAGGAGCCGAGCTGCAAAACTAAAACTATAATACGACAGTGTTGACGTACATGCTCTGCGAATTCAAAGAAATCTAAGATTTAACTGAAAATGTTTTAAAAATAACAAAGTCATCTAGTCCAAATCTCTCCAATATACAAAAGACCCCAAAATACAATCGGATGTATGATCGCTTTACAATGGTGATGACATGCGACAATACTATCATTACCGTTTTCCATCCTCAAAAGATTTTTGGTAAGGTTTTTTTGTGATTATTTTGTTGTTGTTGTTGACGAATTGTCACCTTGTCAGTTCAATCTTGGAATAATGAATTAACTAAATTATGGAATAATCTAGTGATCATCAATTCAAGCACGTAGTGAACTTAGCTGAATTGGGAATCACCAGAAAAGATTAATATAGAACGAGTAACTTGCCTGAGTTGTTTGGTCAGTGTACTTTTTCCTGATCCTGACTGACCTGTTAAAATAAAACAACACTGGTTGTTAATTATAATTGAACTCAATTGAAAAATTATATTTACGTTTTTTAGTGATACCGATTGAATTATCATAAAATCACCGTCACCGATCACAAACCCCTTTTTTAACCTTAGCTGAGATTTTACTCAAATTTGAAAAAAAAAACTATAATACAGGTTTATAACCGGAAAAAATATATGAATCTATTTCTTAAGACACAATGTTTCTGGCATTATCATAATAATCTTCAAATTTAACCTTTGTGAGAGGAATTATGAATTTGAGTAAAAACTAAGCTGAGCATGAGAAATGCGTTGTGGCCATGGGACCAGGTCAAAAAGTAAACTCTTTGACAAATCATATTAGGCATTCTAATGTTCTCTTCAATAAGTCCGTCTTCATTAGCCCACATGGTGCAGAAAAGTAGGACGTAAAACTCCATCCATTTCATTTCATTTCAATAGGTGATCTTTGTAACGCCTTCGCAGCCCCATAAGAAGATGTCTATTAAGTACCATCTTACCCAATAAAAGAAGTTTAATACTCCTGGTGGCTTTTTCTTTCTCATTCTGGAGAAACTGGTCGATGTTTTCTGATTTTTTCTTACTCTCGTTAGGGTTGGTTGAGTTCTGAGCACTAGCACTAGCCCCCATCTTATGAATACAGGTGTTGACATATCATAATGGAATCCTGCAACAAAAGAATGTTAAGAATTAACATATTATGTCGAACTCATCTTGATAATGTCGAGCTATTAAGAACTTCGTAGTTTTACTTTCAATGCAATAGCCACCGTTGTGTCACGGAATGCAGCGATTTGCTTGGAATGTACTCCATTGAATAAGAAGGCTGTAAACATTATGGCTTCGTGTTCACAGACTTTTTGTCGGGGCTTCTGGTTGCCTATTCAATGGCGTACAATCCAAACAAATCGCTTCATTCCGTGATACA